AAAAAAAAAAAAAAGTGACAAGACATGACATAATAATTAAGGGCATAGGTGAAAATCTAATGACCGTTTAATTAGATGACTTTAAAGGCATGACTTTAAAGGCGGGACTATCAAACAAGATGAGTTGGTCAAATCGGTTGGACTCAATTCAACTCGTTAATTTAACAAGCTCGATCTCGAGAAGTATGAGTTGGGTGCGGTTTAGCTCGTTCACTACTTTAATCGTAATTATTAAATAATTATATTTTTTCACTGTATATGTATGTTTCTTTCATTTAAATATCATTGTTAGCGATCGAAGATCAGCCAACAGTTAAATCAAGATTTAAGATTGATAAGTGCAAAAATAGGAAAAGGTTTACGAGGAAATTAGCTTTATTGCTTTATTAGTGAGGTTAGCCTGTGAAGATGAGATCGGTTTTTTACTCACACTTCGTTAAATATTGTGCCGTGTTACAGAGTAGAGAGAGAAAAAGTTGGTAGATTTTTCAACAAATCCCCAATAAATGAGGGATGTTGTTTATTTATACATTACAAGTTGGTTACAGTTCATCTCGCTATTTCGTGAAGTAACTAAGAATGGTAGATGTCCAGTATTGTTTTAACAGACATTAAATGAGAAATGAAGTTAAACTAATAATTGTCTGTCGGGCATTAAATGCACACGTGGGATACATTTAATACTGAGAGGTCGCCCTGTAGTCTTATGTTCAGTAGGTTGCAGACTAGAGTGGCGCGTCTCATCGACAATCATCACTCAATTACCAGTAACAATTTTTATTGCGGCTCTTTAGATTAGACTTTCTCCGCAACTTCAGCTATCTTCATCTTCTGATCTTCTAGGTCATTTCGTGTTATGCAGTTACGAAGGTCGGCCTCGTCCTCCCGGTGTCATGGTACCGACCTAAGAATATGTTCTACGTATTGTTTCAAGTAACTTTGTTCTTTGTTGAGCCTAGACTTCCTGCCACTAAGATGCCGACTTGATTTAGGGGTTGTCTGATGCCTCACTGATGCCTCACTGACACTTTCTATCCTTGGGTTCCTCGGGGTCCAACTCGTATATCGACAATCATAATAAAAATGTTGTATGTCATGTAAAAAGTATGGTCAATCGACCCGTCTAATGGAAAACTGCCTCAACGTTTAAAAAATATGTTGAAAGAGTGAAGTATTTTTTTTTTAAAAAAAAATGAATATGAGATATACTATAATATTTAAAGTTGGACTGATACAACAATAGTAAAACAATGAAATGATATTTGGTTAAAAATATGTGAGTGTATAAATAAAAAAAAAAAAAATTATTTGAAAAAGCGTAATAATAATTAACTTCCAGTAATATGCACAAACAACAAACTTGAAATTTTATATCAATGTAATATGTTTATTTGCTTGACCACTTTAATTTGCAATATAACGCAAATGAGATGTATTTGGGTGATAATTAATGTATTTGGGGTTAGGTGTAAAGGGCCTTGTGGTTTAACT